TCTCTAGGTCGATGGGAACCCGAGTTATGAATTTCCGGTCAAACACACACACACACACGCCAACAGACACACTTAGCGCGTTATATATAGTAGGATAACATACGCACTTTTAAGTAACAATCCTAATCTCAAGGGAAATGTTGTGCTATGCATGGTCGAATGGAATTTTGTTCCAATTGTTCACAGCATTATTAGCAAAATGCTCCTAGTCAACCAATCCTAAGCTACTTTGGAAAAGGGCGTGTTGTCGTTGTGAAACAATCCTTTAGCTGATTAATCGCAGTGAACTGGGCCAAAACAGTTTCTGAACCACAACAACTTCGTTAACACTCCGAATAAAGTAGAAAATGAAGCTGTCAAAAAAATAAAAAACAATTTCTGTCCGAACACACCTTCGCCCATCCACAAGCCGCCCGTTTAGCATTTTGACGGCCATATCGGATGAATCCGTTGTTTCAAATGTTACAGTAACTACGCCTTCAGGATTATTCTAAAAAATTCCAACAGTACTCACTGAACCGTAAGTGGCTATATGGGAATACAGTTGCGAAGAACTGACATCATAAACAACTACTTTCTTCACTACACCATATTTCAGACAACTTTCTTGGACCTCCTCTTTCAAATCCAGCAACAACGCTGCGTTTCTCTAAATAGTGAAGATAAAAGGCGGCTGATAACACAAATTAAATTCGTAGGCGCAAAGAGGCGAACCGCCATCATTTCCAAAGTGAACAAGTTTTTGATCACAACAGTGCAGTCTGAGAGTGGACGATAATTACGCGGCTTCTCTGGTCTCCATTCAAAGATTCTGGAAAACAATTCCTGAATGTGAAAACTGCTAGGGTTATTAAAATTTCGAATTAAAAACGTACTTGTTCTGGTTTTCCATATATCTTTTCTTCTGCGCATTGGTGAGTTTTTTACGCTTCTTTGTTGGATCAAACTCTCCTTTAAGTTCAAAATGAGCTTTCTCTACATGAACTTCCTTTCCTTTTAGTAGATAACCGTCAAGAATCGAAAGGGCCAGGTCGACAGATTCCTAAAAGCACAAAAAATATAGAAAAAAGGTTGGGTAGCAGAGCCTACTATAAGAAAATGAATGATCTATATAATAAATACGTCACAAGCATCCGGAAAGGGTTCCACAGATGACAAATGCTTCTTCAGAGGAAACGAGCGAGTGAAAAGATATGAGCATTGTTATGGCTTACCTAGCCGTACTTGTACTTTTTTGGAATTCAATTCACTCCTTGTCCTCAGAGATGAAGGAAACAGGATTGAGCGCTATCCTCAAAATGTGAAAAACATATCTCCTGCCCTCTGCGCGAGCCGTAAAGTCAGTTTTACGTGAATAATAATCACCAGAGGGATCCATTAAAAGGTGAGAATGCTCAAGTATAGACCGCGATGTACAGAGAACACATTAACAGCGCAAAATATAGCCGTACAGGCGAAGTTCCAACCCATACCGGGATCGTTAATATTTCACGTTAGATCGCCCTGAAAGCGGACAAAGGACTGGGTAAGCAATTGCTAGCCTTCCAGATGAGGGTAGTCTAATCGATAGGTGGAATTATCATGCTCACATGCACAAGAATTTCCAAGAAAGGATTGGACGCGCCAAATGTCAGCGAACCTAAAAAAAATGGTTCAAAAAGTAAAAAAAACGTATAATTTTACGGAGGATGCGAATGTTGCCAGTGGTTAGGATAGGCTTTTCGGGGAGAAATTTTTCGCGGAGACAAAGATTGCACCGAGGTCATTGAAATTCCGATTTCCCAATTTTTCGGCTCAGGAGTGATTGCTTAGTGGAAAAAATGGCACAACATTCTTAGGACGAGCTATCTATTAAGACTAAAGACATAAAGGCGAAAGTTGCATTGTCTGGTCATAGTGGTCCAATGTTTTCCGATGAATTAGAAAAACGCATGACATAGAATGGTAGCAATGGACAGAATGTATGATTGACAGAGGGGCTGACATCCACAGCTAATTCCCTACGAAACACCTTTTCAGGTTGATTTGGTCATCCGTTTAGCACACCCATGTATGAAGGATAAAAGATTATACGAAAAGGTGTGAGAGAAGCAAACCTTCTTAATATAACAGCATCTTCCGTCGCCTTTCAGCTGTCCCTGTTCATCGACGTACAACTTTAATTTCGGCTTGTTCGTGCGTGCATCTGGTTGAATAACGCCACACTTTGACATGAACTCCTAAGAACATTAGATTACAAACAGAAGGAGATCAAAATCGGTGATGTAATTTACTTCGAGAAAGTGATGTAGGGGCAGCACAGTAGAAAATCAAGATAGCGTCAAGCCGGAAATGGAAAAAAGGGGACTGAGGAGCAAATTTCGAAAGAGATTGAGGAAAAGGAAATAGGAGAAAAAANGGTTGAATAACGCCACACTTTGACATGAACTCCTAAGAACATTAGATTACAAACAGAAGGAGATCAAAATCGGTGATGTAATTCACTTCGAGAAAGTATGTAGGGGCAGCACAGTAGAAAATCAAGATAGAGTGAAGCCGGAAATGGAAAAAAGGGGACTGAGGAGCAAATTTCGAAAGAGATTGAGGAAAAGGAAATAGGAGAAAAAAAGTTGGCAATACGAGGAAGTCCGAGTAGTGGAGTTCAGAGAAATGAGGAACCCAAACCCAATCATAATGTAAGACGCCATATGTGTTTTAAAGAAAACGTTCCCTATCATCTCAAACACATGTGGCGTTAAGGGATGTCTGATAGTCGATTCAACGATGAAATATGGAGGACAAAATAGGAGGCGTGACTCGAAACAGATAGTAGCACAAGTGACGACTGAGAAAAAGAAGTCACAATTGTAAAAGAAACCAATCAAGCTTCGAGAGACTCGGAATCCAAAGTAGGTATGAGCAGAAGCCTAAATGAAAGCCATAAACATCCAACCTTGAATTCATCCATAGTTATGTCAGTAGGAAGATTGCTAACATAGACAGCGTGGACCTTCTCTTCCATGTCAACCCAACCTTAAAAGAAGTACGAAATACATAAATCTTGCAAAACTGGTGATAAATAAGGCATATTGTAGGCAACAATATGAGAAAATGTTTCACCTTGCGTCTCTGTAGCAGCTTTTGCCTTCTTCTCTTTCTTCTCAGCAGATTTATTATTCTTCGCTCTTTCCAATTCAGCTGCTTTCCTTTCTTCATCAAGTTTACCTTAACATACGGAAAACTATTTCACAACAATCGCAGAGCTGACAAAACAAGGATGGAGCAGTCGATGCGAGAAGAGGGACAGCAAAGGAGCGAAAGAACACCTGCGGTCAAAGCGACTGCATTTGCGACTAAAGCGACTGTAAGAGATGCACTTTCATTTCATCGCAGTGAAATAGACGAAAAAAGAAAATTCTTGCTCATCCTTCTATTCCTACGCCTATTTACCATGACCAAACACCATACCAAACATAAAGACTTTAGCCACAAAGACACAAAACATCGAAGGAAAAGCAGACCACAAGAAAGAACCTACTGTAATCATACGGAACACCATAATTGGCTTGATAACTGGCTATGAAATCTTCATCAACTGGCTCTTCTACTCGTTCCCACTCTTGCTTGGCTGCATTCCACTTCATTTTCACACCATTCACTACCTGGAAATATCAAATACTCAGAAGAACTCACTTGCTAGCATGTGGATGATCGAGAGATTTCAATCCCACCTGTGTTTCGGCTGCCTCCTGTTCATACCAAAGCTGCTGAATGAACTCAAGATCATCAGAAGAGAGAGGTCGCCACTCGTTATTGTGAAATTCGACGTACTCTTGAGTAGCATCATAACGCCCTATCCACTTCTCATTCAGAAATCTCCTCGAAAAGCCTTCAAAAACCGAAATTTCTTCGAAGGGGTGGTACAAAAATAGAGGATAAAGCTTTTAGCTCAATGAATACCTCTAAGGGATGCGCCCCAACACTCGACTTCCATTCAGAATCGTGGTGGCGTAATGAGTGCGTATGTGGCCTATACAATGACTTGAGTTGGCCAGCCAATGTACAAGTCAGTGCTTTTACCTTCCAGACGAGTCTGGTACCAATTCACCGACCCTGGAGGGATGCAAGGCTTGGTTGGACTAGGCAGGCATCGATCCGGGATTCGAACCCCTGCCCATACGAGCGAGATAGTGCGCCACTTGCCACCACACCACCTTCGCCCATGGAAGTCGAGGGCGGGACGCATCCCTCAGACGGGATTGATTAACTCCAAAAACTTTATCCTTTATTCTTGTACAAGGATAATTACAAACTGTAAATAAAAATAATAACGATATCGAACATCTAGCTCACCTTCAACTACTCCAGAAGTGCCATCAGTTACTGTGGAGGCTTCTTGATCCCCTAAACGTTCGAACTCAAACAATACTGAAATTATCTAAAATAAGCTGCATGCAGGACAATACCTGCTGTTCCATCGGCCACCTGCTCATTAGAATCCGAAGAATTTTCTCGTGCCTCTAGAACTTCCTGGGTTAGCCTTATCGAAACCTCATTGGATATCAAAATACTCAGCCAGAGCATTTAGTTAATCACCCTCAGCTTTGTGAGCTGCTGTGTCGCCAGCAGGAGAATCCTCATGATCTGCTTTTGATGATGGCGCATCTTCAGAGGAACCGTCAACGGAAAGAGCAACCTCAGGCTGCTCACTGTTTTCAGCCATCTGAAATATCTTTTTAATTCTGAATTCATTTCTTTGTTTAATAGACAGCAGTTAACAGCCCGTCAATCCTGAAATTACAATACAGAACAAATGCATGCTCAAGAAATATGTCTGTGGTTGACTTGTTTCACATTATTACGCTACACCCTTTTTACACCTACAGTTTTGAAGGTCATCATAATCTGTCAGTAATAAATAGGATTAGAATTGATACTCGACATACTTGCATACTTACTGGACTCACACAAAGACCCCAATGAGGATAAAAGGCCAGCCCGTCCCGTTATTCTCCTAAGCTACCGAGCGATCTAGAGCGGATCTCCGTCCTTCAGAGGGCATGGTGACTATGCATGATATATCCTTGCCCACGTAAAGAGGCCTGAGATGCCAATGTAGGCGTCGTCACTCGGCGAGGTGCGGATGTTCGTCCCTTTGGACGTAGCTGCAGGTCAGAGGGCAATCGGCCACCAGATGATTTTGGGTCCGGGAACTTCTCCCCTAACACGGCGTCGCACACGCCGCACCCGCCGCCTATCGCAGGATTGCGATGAAAGGTTGGAGCGCGCAATTTGTGAGGTAGGGAGTCCTTTAATTACTTGAATTGGCTGACCGCTTTCTTCAATTTCAATGCAGTCTTGACCGCCGCTTGCATAGGAGGAGTCATTTTAATTAATCAAGTCCAATAAACATGAAAACTAAAAAGAAACAGAAGAAAAAACGATAAAATCCAATGAAAAAGCAAGCCAGTCAAGGAAAAATATCGCGTCCTATCGATTTTCGGGAGGCGGGGTGAGTACGGTAACTGCAGTGACCTTTGCCGCATGCCGCAAGGGAGAATGCCGCGATAGGGGAGAAGTTCCGTTACCTGATGATTTTCAGCCAAATAACGAGTGTTCAGAATGCTTCTGTATAGAGTCCTGTACACTCAAAGCAGCGAATTTGAATAGTACGCTTCCCTTATTTTATCAAGCTGGACATATCACTATTTTTGTACTGCTTGATTTGCAAAATACTATTTTAAGTACCTTCAGCAACAAAGAATAATCCACTGTGCAAAAGAAAATGAGCAGAGCTTATATATGTATAGCACCCCGGTTCCTCAAGAAGTAGAATGAGTCGCGCTTTGCCCTACACTCGTTTCCAATTATTCAGTCCCTTCGGTAATTTCAACCTTTTCTGAGCAATTTTGTAATCTTTTTTTTTGTGAAAAAAGTTCTGTGAGTAAATGCACTGTGTGTCGCGCTGAGCCCACAAGCATTATGTAAACGAAAAACTTATCACTTAGCAGGAACAAAAATGTGAAAGAAGGTGATAAAGGAACACGAGCTAGTCAGTAAAAACTGAATATGATAAAGTCCTGGAAGCTGCCTAAGTGTAGAAGAAGGAGAGAATCTAACAAATATCCAACTGACTGAGGTATTTTTTTTACGGGGCGCTGTCCAGCCAGGTAAGGCTAATTTGCATAGCTGAACTCTCCTTCAATACTCTCTTACTATTACACTTCAATACTTGTTTGTTGCTTCACCAAGCGATGGTATTTTTCATAAATCCCTTAACCTTTAAAAATGGCTCCAGTATGGCCAAGGCACCAACACTGAAAACAACGGAATCAACGGAAAGTAGCAATACAATAAAAGGTAACTAGATAAAATTACGCGATAAAGCACCAATGTTACATATCTATTTGCCAAATATTCGAGCACAGCGCACACAAAATCCGAACAGTAATTTCAACGTTTTCAAAACGAAATTCCGGAACGTCCGCAATATTTCGTCGCTCCTCAGAAAACAGCGAATGCTACCGTATGCGGGTTGATAGGAGTATTAACACTGGTTGCAGACTGATCACGGGAGGTCAAGGTACTGGACTTTTGGCTGTTGAATATGAATAGGCGTATCGTTCTCGAACTGGTCGTGGTGACTAATGATGTCAGGTGCTGGTTCTGGACGAAACAAACCTTTCTTTTCACTATAATTACGGTATGTTTTGGGAGATGTGAAACCTGTCGATGTGCAAAGTTTTTCCTTTTCTTTTCTAGAAGTCCAAAGGCGATAGTTCAATAAAATAATCAAAACTAGAAGTCGATATACCTGTTCTGTAGCACCTGCCATGAATTTAGGGGGGGGGGTGGAAGGGGTGGACTTCAAAAATCTCCTCTCCTGCTTTTCCTTGTGTCAAGCCTCAGCCTTGATACACTTTTTATACTTATCCTTTATTTAGTAAGTAGAGTGTAACAAAAGGAATTAGTGGAGCTTGTTAAATAACGTGAAAAACGTAATGAAGTGACAATAAGTGACAATACTACCCTTTGTTTGAGCCCAAGTCTGGAAAGGTATTGATTCTCCACCTTCGTGTATCGTTCAATTGTCGGTTGGGGGTCAGGCTAGGACTAGACAGGGTCAAAGGTGATCTAGAGCCTTACTACTATTAGTGTGTTTTTGTGAGGAAAAAAGATCTGGTGAGCAGAAAACTCCGTTGCACCACGGTTTGTTGTGGCGGTTCAGTTGTGTTAATACATAGTTTACAAATAGTCATTGATTTAGGGCCGTCAGTTTTCTGTCTTGAATATGCCCTTCAGTGTAGCCACTGCCGAAGGCGTAACCCGCCTACCCTCGACAAGTGAGAGCGATTCCCTCTCTAATTGTGTTATCAATTCGTTTGCTGTGTTACTACCAAGATCCTGATACTGTCCTTCTCCGAAACGGGTTTTACGAAGTCCTGCAGAATTTTTTACAATTTGGTGTTTCATTGTCCTACATTGACCTACAAGTTTTTTTCCATGTCGTGGCCTATCGTCGTCTAAGGCGACGTTCACCTTACCATAACTATCTCGTCGTCTCACTGTCTGAGACGACTAATTCTAGCTTAACTCACGCCCCTAAAGGTGCGGGGTCAAGCGGCCCCGAGATAAGTGGGCCCCTCATTCTACCTAACGCAACAGCAAAGGCAGCACGTGGGTTTAGTGTCGTTA